GAGGGCATAAACACCCTGCGGAGGTCCAGAATGTCCTTGGCCAGGCATGGTGGTGGTGTGTCTGGAAGACGGCAAAAAGCGTTTAGGTACACATTTATACTTTCTATCTGTTCGAACCTGCTTTGTTTTTTTGGGGGGCCAAAAGCCTTTCATTTTTAATTGTTCTATCCTGGGCCTCCTTCTGGCCACTAGAGGGCCAGGAACAAGTAGACACGAGTACAATTAGAAAAGAGGACGATTAGAAATGAACGACTTGTACGCCATTTTGCCTGATCCGGGCCATCCTAAGCCCCAGGATTGAGCATCGATGCCTCTGGCCTTGGCCAGGAGGGCATAAACACCCTGCGGAGGTCCAGGATGGCCCTGGCCGGGCATGGTGGTGGTGTGTCTGGAAGACGGCCGAAAGCGTGCAGATACCTTGTTGATTTATGTGGCCTCCCGCCGCGCCCCCCGAGCGCACAGTGTGTAAAAGTCGGTTCTTATTCGTAGTTAGGCAGACGCGTTTAGAAATGATGGTGCTCCAATTGAGGCCCCGTAAGGGCCGCGTTGCAAGAGTCACATGTGCATGTATGTGTGCACACGCATCTGCTTACAATATGTGCGTACATGTTTTCATACATGTGTATGCATACATGTTCGACCGCGTCTCAGTTTTCCGCTGGGTACATCGCAGCGTTTCGGTGTCTAGCATGTGCGCGTATCTGTTATTCGGTACTTCCATTTGGAGCAGCAACCTCTCTAACCGCAGCAATTAGACTGCAGTATTTAGACAGGGGGTGCATGATTGTTTGCGCGTGTGTGCATGTGCGTCCATGCTTTCTTGAAGGGCTGTTTGATAATGTGTGCAGGCGTCGATGTGTCGGTGTGTCGGTATGTTACTGGGTGCGCGTGGATGTGTGCTGGTGCTTCTGTGTGTGGATACCAACGGATGTGTGCGCGCGTGTGTGTGTGTGTCTGTGTGTGAGTGTGTGTGAGTGTGTGTGCATGTGTGTGAGTATGTGTGTGGTTGCGCGCGTGTGTGTAGTTGTGTGTGTGTGCGTGCGTGCATGGGTGCGTGTGTGCGAATGTGTGTGTGTGTGCGTGTGCGTGTGCGTGTGCGTGTGTGTGTGTGTGTGTGTGTGTGTTTGTGTGTGCGTGTGTGCGTGTGTGCGTGTGTCTGTGTGTGTATGTGTGTGCGTGTGTCTGTGTGTGGGTGGATGGGTGGGTGGGGGTGGTGATGGGTGGGTGGGTAGTGGGTCCTGGGTCAATGGGTGGGTGGTGGGGGGGGGGGCGGGGGGGCGTGTGTTTGCATGCGTCTATGCATGTTCCGTTCCGATTTGTAAGTGAAGTCATCCGCAGACCCCGAACGAAGCGCCAGAGATTTTGCAAGAAGGCTCCAAGAGGCTCCAAGGGACCTCGGAAGCCCCCAGAAGGCTTCGCACCACGTTTCGCAGCATGTTAGTTTTTCCAGGGCCCTCTTGGGGGCTCATTGGGGCCCGCCCAAACCGTGGAGAGGCCTCGAGAGCACTCGATCAGGGGGAGGTATCTCACCACAGCCCGTTAAGCATTACCCTCTACGGAAGTTCCGCGCGCCCAACTCAGCGCAACCAGTATGCACAGGCGCGCGTACACATGCACCCATCAGTGTGGGTGGAGCTCTTCTTGGGGGGTGGGCGTTCTTAGGGTCGGGGGTGGACAGAACCCCCAACAGTGGCACGTCGATTAGTGAATTGTCCGTTTTCGGTTCTCGAGAGGGCGCCGCGGCCGTTATTTCCCAGGCTTGCGCCCGCCAGGTTTGGGCCTGAGGTCGTTTTCACTAAACCACGTTTTACTAAAGGGAGGTCTGTCCATCCCCGATAGGGGCATGCTTGGGCGTGTTGGGCTAGTATTTCGGTATACCGGGAGGCAGCTGGAGGTTCCACTGTGTCCCCAGCGACGTTTGTTTTGTAGACTCGTGTGTGTGTGTGTGAGCGTTCTGCCCCGGGAGGCCCTCTCGGTGCGTCTGGAGCAGACCTGTACGTTTCTCGAGGGGCAGATCCGTTTTCACGCGATGGGGTGGGGGGGAGGGGGAGAAACACACGAGTCCACACCTAGGGCTGCGTCCTGGGAAACCCAGGAGTCATGCTCACACGAGGGCATCCTGTGGCAATCCCGAGGCATCCTGGCGTCGTCACGTGATCCAGGGGGAATCAGGATGAAGGAGTCCTCAAGGCCGCCGCCGCTAAGCCCAGAATCCAGAGGGACGCGTAAGCAGAAGAGTGCGCGATTGGCATATGGGAAGCGATGCAGAAGATTGCCGCTGGGGAGGAGGGGAGGAGGGCACAGCGGGATATCTACGCACACGCACTCGGTCTATGTTCTTATTTGCCCCATTGTTGCCGCGGCCGGCCGCACTTCTGGATGAAGGTGGCACTCTCCAGCGCCCCATCGCTGCTCGTGAGCACGCACCGCACAAGGTACATGCCAGTGTTCGTTGCGACTTACTTGCGTAACTGAACGTATCTCGGGGAAGAAAAGGTAGCCATACCGTATACTGCTACCCCTGGCTCGTGTTTCCCGTTTTGCGGTCCCTGGCCCTCGTCAACACCGCTGGATTCGTTTCGAAATTCTGGTCAGAACGCACTCCGGGAGAGGTCCAGGGATAGCGGTATCGGTACCGCTTGGTTTCCCAAGAATATCTGAACGCATTCTGATGGCAACGTCTCCGAAAGTAGTGCTGCGCCAGCACGTTGAAACATGTCGTCGACGTTCGCTTTTTGATGCGTAGGATCATGGGATGCCCAAGACAGACGCCTGACACTTTTCGCGTGGAGGGTGTCCAGTTGTTTCCAGCCGCCTTGTTGCAGCCACATAAGAATCCAGAGAGCGTAGGAGCGTGTTGAGAATGCACGGCCCGTACATCGCGCATCTGCTGTTCATCCCGAAGAGAAGTGCGACCGTATTTTAAGACAGCGACTTGAATGCACCAGTGGCTTACCCAAGTCTTCGCGATAATTATGCTGCTGCTTCCGCCACACGTAGCAAATGCCACTCAGGTACATTCCGTCTTGTACTGTTCTGGTATCCCCGCCATCCCGCTGAATTGCACTAGAGTTAGGGTCCATCTGCGTTTGCGAAAATGAATCCCGGGGGAATCGTGAAAGGAATCCTGATGCAATCCTGAGGAAATCCTCAGATAATCCAGAAGGAATCCCGACGAGCCTTGAGGAATCCTGAGGCGGGCCCCGACTCAGGGCAGTTTGACGGCATTCCTGAATGAGCCATGAATGATTAGGGAATCCGCAGGACTCCGGCGAGAATTCTGGTGTGTCCTAAGGAATCTTGGGGAACCCAGGACCCTCGTTGATCCTTGTAGGATTCGGAGGATCCCCGACGGCATCCTGAGGCTCTCCTAGGTGTCTGAAGAGAGTGGAGGGCATCTTGAAGACATCCTCGGCGATCCCCCAGGAATTCGAGGAGTCCCGAATTCCCATTGGAATCCAAACGAACTCTTGCTTGGACCTGGAGGAACAATCTGAGCGAATAGTGTAGAAATTCGGTGGGGATTCTGAGGGCTCGTAAGGAGATCCTGCGGGATCCCGAGAAAGCGTGGAGAGGCTGAGGAACCCGCCTAAACCGCAGGTATCGTAAGGAATCTCCCAGGCATTACTTGTCGTTTGGGTTCTGTGGACATTCCCGATTGCCCTTGATGGGTTCCTTTGGCTTCACCTGCGTCTTCTCAGGCTCACATGGTGTGCAGAGTCTTTCCGAGCCTGTCGTTCGACTATCGTGTCTCTCTTTTGTTACGGGCAGCGGCCCACATCGCGCCTAGAGTTATCGAGGGTATATGTTGTCGACTGGGTCCATATTCATGTTAGGGAGTGTTTATTTGAAGCGCAGGAAATTCACAACGCGCATGTAGTGTTTGGTATAGACCGTGTCTATTGGCATTGATCTGCAATTTTGTTCAACAGGAAGAGAAGCGCATTCTGGATTTACGTGCTGCACCATATAAAAGTTGTCGCATGCAAGTTGTTGATACTCCCTGTGTTGAACTGCATCTGAAGCGAAGGCAGATATCGACTCGCATCGGCGCGTTCAGTTTCAAATGCTTTGTTGTGTCGCTGTAGCCAGCACGGAACAAAATCAGAGTGAGGGGGCCGAACGGTCATTCATTGTCCCTGGGTGCGTGGCTGAAGTGGGATTCCGCAATGCGGATTATTGTTGTTGTTTGGTTGGTTGGTTGGTTGGTTGGTTGGTTGGTCGGTCGGTCGGTCGGTCGGTCGGTCGGTTGGTTGTTGTTGTCGTCGTTGTTGTTGTCGTCGTCGTCGTCGTCGCCGTCGTCGTCGTCGTTGTCGTTGTCGTTGTTGTGTTGTTGGTGCTGCTGCTGCTGCTGGGGGGATTCAGGATGAGCTGGTGTGCGGGATGCGGTTGTGCACGATGTCCCGCGATAGCGTCCGAAACGATATGCACCACCACCAACCCTGACCACCCTCTGCCTCCATCCTTCAGGTGGTGGTGGTGGTGGTGGTGGTGGTGCGTGTCCTTCTCCTCACCAAGGCAGCCCGGCTGGACGGTCGGAAAGGTCGCCATCCTCTGCGGCGGGCCGGATTGGCCCACCTCTGTGCTGGCGGGCGTGTTGCGGCTGTCGTTGTGGCAGTGCGAGCTGGGGACCGTGCCCATCATATCCCAGGGTTGCCCACCCCGCCCCGCCGACCACAGGAAGGGGGAGGAGGAGGAGGAGGAGGAGGAGGAGGAGGAGGAGGAAGAGGAGGAGGAGGAGGAGGAGGAGGAGGAGGAGGTAAACGACTTCTTCTTCTTCTTCTTCTTCTTCTTCCCGACCCCCGCCCACTTCAAATCGTATCTTGGACAACCTTCGGCAAAGGGGCAGCGACCGGTAGCGGGACGGCCAAGCATGTCGTGCGCCCTGTCGCCCCCGACAGGTGGGGGTCGGCGGATTCTTTGTTGTCCCGTGCGCCCTCACGGGCTCGTTCTACCTGAGGAAGGGCGAGAGTCCGATCTGGAGCAGAGCAGCCAATCTCATGACGCTCTCCTCGCTCATGGTCACCGACTGAACCTAAGAGTGGCCTTTCGCCAGAGTGGCCTTTGGTGCGGGCCCACTGGGGCCCCCCGATCGCCGAGCGCGCTGCGGCAGTGGCGTCTTGCGCGCCTGCGTGTGTTGGGCCCCCCGCGGCCCTCCCCAAGCCGCGCACCAGAGGCCACGCCCGCCCCGGGGCCACTCCCGCGCGCGGCCGAGGTCAGCCTGCTGCTGTGGGCGCTGGCCCTGTGGGCCATGCAGGACCGCCTGGAGAAGGACCACCTCGAGCTGGAGAGGCCGCTGCCCCAGAACGCGGAGCTGGAGTGGCTGGAGTTTCGGGACGCGGAGGTCGCCCGCAGGCTGGGTGCGAACTCCTGGGGGGACGACGTAAGTAAGCGAGGGCCGCAGGGAAGGGGCCCGGTATAGGGCCCCCAGAGGGGCACTACTTAGGGCCCAGAAGGGAGCCTCGAGGGCTCGAAAAGTGCATCTTCCCCCCCTCTCCCCGCTCCTTTATCGCTCCCCCATGGATTCGTGCCCAAGCAGGTGCGCCCTGGTATGGGCAGACTTGCCGCGGCTCACCCGTTGGACGTTTGCCTTCGGCGCCGTCGTTCAGGTGCTGGTGTGCCACGTGCTGTGCTGGATGAACGACAGCCTCTTCGGCAACGTCAACGTGTCCGACGACATCGACACGCTGCAGTGGTACGGGTCCGACGGTGGCCTGTTCAACTTCTGGTCCGTGGCCACGCTGTCGGTGTACTGCGCGGCCTTCCTGGCCTACGCCCAGTACGGCGCTTGGCACAGGCTGACCCAGTCGGGGGCCAGGAGGAGGGCCGTCCGGGAGGTCGAGGCGCAGAAGTGCGCCTGGCTGCAGGACTACGACCGAAGGTGCCGAGAGGCGCTCGGCAGCCACGACCGCGTGCCCGCCGCCGCGCCACCCGAGCGCCGCCCGCCGCCCGGGAAGCTCGGCGGCGACGACGCGTGCCGCGGCGCCGTGGGCGCCGCCTCGCCCCGCACGCCCCCGCCCCGCACGCCGCGGGGCGCCAGCCCGGGCGGCCACTGGCCCGAGGCCGCGGGGCCACCCTCGCCGCGCACGGCGGGCGGCCCGGCCGGGGAAGGCCCGGGGGACGAGCGGGAGGCGGGCGGGCAGGCCCGCCGGGAGGAGGGCGGCCGCGCCCGCCCCGCGGCGTGGTGGGCCGCCGGGCGACGGCGAGCCCGCCGCGCTCGCCGCGGCGAGCCGTGCGCCTGGGCGGGGCGTCGGGGTCGCGGCGGCGGGCGCCGCGAAGGCGCCCGGGCTCGCTGCGGCCGAGCCGGCGGTCCCGCTGGTGGGCTTGCTCTGCTCTGCTCCTCCTCCTCCTCTCCTCCTGCTCCTCGGGCTCCTCCTCCTGCTCCTCGGGCTCCTCCTCCTCCTCCTGCTCCTCCTCCTCCTCCCTCCTGCTCCTCCTCCTCCTGCTCTCCTCCCCCTCCTGCTCTCTCCGCTCCTCCTCCTCCTCCTCCTCCTCTCCTCCTCCTCCTCCTCCTCCTCTTCCACCTCCTCCTCCTCCTCCTCCTCCTCCTCCTCCTCCTGCCCTCCTCCTCCTCCTCCTCCTCGCTGGTGGGCGTGCTCTGCTGCGACGAGGTCTCCGCGGCCGCGGGCGCGGCGGCGCCCGTCGGCACGCCAGTGTTCGGGCTGGCCGAGTCGCCCTCGGCCCCGCCGGGCGGGCGGTGCGGCGGCGCCAGGGCGGGTGATCAGGATCCGGGGCATGCCGAAGTCACCAGGAGCCAGGAGCCTTCGAGTCAGAGCCTCGGATTCTAGTCACTAGGGGAGGAGGAGGAGGAGGAGGAGGAGGAGGAGGAGGAGGAGGGAGGAGGAGGAGGAGGGAGGAGAGGAGGAGGAGGAGGAGGAGAGGAGGAGGCGGAGGAGGAGGAGGAGGAGGAGGGGGGAGGAGGAGGAGGAGGAGGAGGCGGAGGCGGAGGCGGAGGAGGAGGAGGAGGAGGAGGAGGAGGAGGAGGAGGAGGAGGAGGAGTGGTGCCCTGGGTCTGCGGAAGACTCGTGTGCACCGTACCGCGTTAGCGTCTCACGAGGCGTCGTCTATCCTCGACCAAGGCGTGGTGCGGTGTACAGTTGTTCGGCCGACATGCTAAGCACCGTACCGCGTTGGAGCGGGCCCCGAAGAGAGTCCAAACTTAGCACGGCGCATGGGTACCGGCACAGTATATGACTACCACCACCAAGATCGAGAATAATCTACGATGCGATTTGGTGCAGTTTTGCTCTGGTGAAGAGCCCGCAGTCCCCCTCCCGCCGCCAACGGCAACCGGGCTGCCCCATCTGTCTGAAGGACCGAAACAGAATTCATCAAAGCACGCGCGGTGGTGGTGTTTATAATTTTGGTGACCAAGGGGAGCGATTTTTATACACCACCATCAAGAAGTGCTGTTTCTGCTTCAGGAACTCCCCATGCCACGGCGCCTGCGAGCTGCGCCGCGCTCCTTTTCGCCGTGGCGTCGCAGCGTCGTCTGGCATGACCCTGCCCCTAACCCTTTTTGCGGAAAATTATTGTTGCGGGCGGTAGTGGTGTACACAAATTGGCCTCGGTGCTCGTTCCTGGGAGAGTGGAGGGGAGAGGGACGATGGTGACCAAGTGTGTCCGCGGTTCGGTTTCGGTTCGGCTGCGTGGCGGTCGTTTGCGTTCGGTTGGTTCGGTTCGGTCCGCGGTCGTGTCGTCGCTTGCAACATGTCGGTTTCGGTCGGCTTCGGTTTCGTTGTCGGCTCGATCAGTTTTCGCTTGTGCCGCCGCCGTGGGCGGCCTTGGGGATGAAGGTGGTGGTGGGGGGAGGAGCAGGCCGAGTCTCGTCACGGGCTAGATCCACAGTGATGATGCGCTGTGTCGTCAAGGCCACCCTCGTGCCCTTGCTTCTTCGGCCCATGCTGAGCCAACGTCGCCCGCAATTGGGGCCTCGAGGGTCCTGCATCTGTACAGTAGGGGTCCTGAAGAAGGAACCCTTTTCGTTGGGGAGGGGCTCCGTGTTCCTTGAGTGTTTCACGGCTTGCCTTGGGTTTCCTTAGGTTTTCCAAGGGAAATCCTTACTTAGGGTTCCTTATTTAGGGTTCCTTAGGTCAACGCCCCTTCTGTACCTTGCTATGGGTTCTGACTGCAGCCTGGTGGTGCTCGCTGCCACGCAGGACGGCGGCGCTGCGGCAGCCGGCCCCGCGGTGGGGGCGCCGGGCACGAAAGCTCCCCGTCCGAGCACCATGCCCCCGCCCACCCCCCAGAGATCCGATCCCTGACTTTCCAGAGAGCTATGTTTTAACACCGGAGGCCTAACCCCCCCCCAAAAAAAATTGGCGAAACAGCCAAGAACCAAGACGTAGAATAGCTTTGGGATAGGTTTTTAAGTCGGGTGCTATTTTTTAGCCCTCCTGGAAGGTCATGGATGTCATGATTTTTTCAATGCGCGGTCCCCGGAGGTCTCGACCCATTCCCCAGGACTGGTGTTTCATCCGGAGCTGTTTGTGGACGGTCCGGGGGCCCGGCGAGGGCCCATATATAGAGGCCGCAGGTTGCGAAAAGCCTCCGCCCCGATTCTTGCACTGCGTGGAACCTCCGGGCCCTGGCGTTGCCCAGGCAGGCCCTGATCGATCCGGTCGACCCGATTCGATGTCGACCTCGGACGCCCCCATGCAGTCGGTTCGCGATGCGACGGCGGCGCTCCGCTGCGGCCCGAGAGCTGCGCGCGGCGCTGCTGTGCCTCCCCGCGCGGCCGAGCCGAGTCGACTCCGGCCGGCCCCGTGCCGGTGCGGCTCGCTTCCGGGAGCCGAGCTTCACACACGCGTGGGGGCCCCCGCGTCGAGCACGGTCAAGACGCTGTGCTCTGCAGGACTCCTAGATTCAGGGGGGGAAAGATCACCCGGACCGGACACGGACAGTTGGCGTTTCCTAAACGGCCCTGGGCGTTTTACTACACACCCCTGCCCTGGTTGATGCCTTCTTGGGGCGCGTGTGCTAAACGGCTTCGCGTGTCGGGGCGGTTATTATCGGGGTGGATTTTCTGCCCTCTTTATTACATGGGGGTCGGAGTTTACAGAGGGTCGGAGGATCGCGCCGCACCGCCGATGCATTGCTAGTGCGGCTCGATGCAGGGCCCGAGTTGCTGCACGTCGAAGTCGCCAATGCACCGCCGACGTCGCCGGTGCATCGCCGGTGCATCGCCGATGCATCGCCGATGCATCGCCGATGCGGCGCGATTCTCCGAGCCCATCTGCTCCGACCCCGTCGAGGAGGCCTCTAGGAGCCAAGGACCGCCTTGGGCTCGGGGGGGGGGGCTCCGGCTTGTGGGCCGCTCCTGGGTCGGGCGTGGCACGTGGAGCCTGCCGGGAAGGGCCTGGCCCTGCGAGGGTCGGAGGAGTCGGCACCTCTCCCGCGGCGGCAGGGCGGCGGAAGCAGGAGGAGGAGGAGGAGGAGGAGGAGGAGGAGGAGGAGGAGGAGGGAGAGGGGAGGAGGAGGAGGAGGAGGAGGAGGAGGAGGAGGAGGAGGTAGTGAGGAGGAGGAGGAGGAGGAGGAGGAGGATCCCCCCCGCCGTCGGGAGCTGGCGGTGCCAGAATCCGCCACATGCGGGGGCCCCCGCGTCGAGCACCGTCGGGAGGCTGAGCCAAGGACCACCTCGGACTCGGGAAGGGGCTCGGGTTGGGGCGGGCCGCTCCCGAGTCGCGTGCTGCCAGAAGTGCCCCTGGCCCGAGGTGTCTCCAGGATTTCCAAGGAGAGGCCCCCACGGCCTCCAGGGCACCGTCCCTCCCCTCCTCCTCATCCTCCTCCTCTCCTCCTCCTCCTCCTCCTCCTCCTCCTCCTCCTCCCCCTCCTCCTCCTCCTCCCCCTCCTCCTCCCCCTCCTCTCCTCCTCCTCCTTCCCTCCTCCTCCTCCTCCTCCTCCCGTCTCCTCCTCCTCCTCCTCCTCCTCCTCCTCCTCCTCCTCCTCCTCCTCCTCCCCTCCTCCCTCCTCCCTCCTCCTCCTCCTCCTCCTCCTCCTCCTCCCCTCCTCCTCCTCCTGCTCCTCCTCCTCCTCCTCCTCCTCCTCCTCCCCTCCTCCTCCTCCTCCTCCTCCTCCTCCTCCTCCTCCTCCTCCTCCTCCTCCTCCCCCCTCCTCCTCGTCCTCCTCCTCGGGGAGGGTGGCGGCGTGTACATCACCACCGAGGGCCAGGGATTTCATGCCCCGCCACCCTCCGTGGAGGCGCAGGGAAAACGCGTCGGCGGATGTCTTGGCATCGCTGGGACGTGTGCATGTTTCTCGGCGAGGCCAGCGTTAGAAAATCTGGACCCTCTTGCAGCCCCTGGGGCCACATGGAGCAGACCGAAACACGCGCGCGAAACCAGACAGTGGAAGGGGAGTGGACGTCCGAGCGATGGCAAGGTGTCTGTGTACGGCAGGTTCGCGTCGTTTCGACCGTTGAAGGTAGGACGCCAGAGTAGGTCCACATTGCAGGATCTGACGTTCCGGAAATGGCCGAGCGTTCAAGGCTGAACGATCCCCGCGGTGTCAGGAACCAACGCCGGGGTCGGCACGACACGAAGCCACGATAGCAAATCATGGGAACCTTGCAGCCCCTCGGGCATTCCATTTTCAGGGTGCGCTCGATTGCGCCAGCGCCCGGGAATCGACGAGAAAGCGCCGGCTCAGCGCCGCTTCAGCGCCGGCTGGCGTCGAGAGGCGTGAGCACCTGTCCGTCTGTGTGACTTTCTCGACCGGCGCTTTCTCCTCGATTGCGGCGGGCACGGGGCCGGGTTTGGGGCCCCACAGGTGTTTTTTGTCAGACGACCTGTGGGGTCCCAACCCCGGATAGCAGGGCGCGAGAAGGGCGTGGAAAGGCCTTACAGTGCCGTTTTTAATACATGCTCCGCGTGCGGATCGTGTAGTAAGAATGGAGGGATTTCGTTTTGAAACGACGATGAGTGCATGCATACATTTATTCATAAATGAACCATGTATTAAAAATCCTACATGTTAAAACAATCCTATGTATTAAACACTGCTCTGCACGAAGAAGCGAAGAGCTCTGGAAGGACCGGGAGAGAGTTTCCGAGGGGCCTCCTGCTGGAGAGCGCCCGGGCACGCCGGCACGGCACGCGCCCGCGGTTATTGTCGGCCTCCGTGGCGCGCCAGGCCGGCGGCCGCCCCTCGCCGTTGCCCCTCGCGCTCCGCCTGCAGGGGCGCTGCCGCGGCCAGCAGGACCGCGCGGCGCCTCCGGCAGAGCCCCACCGCCTGGAGCGGGGACGAACAAAATAGTCAGAAAAATTGTCTGGGGACGATTTGTTTTGACTATTTTTGAGCATTTTGGGGCGACTCGGTAGCGTCAAGTCGGGCGTGTCCCTCTACAGGGGGAGTATTCAAAGATAGTCACCAATCGTCTGGGGACGATAAAAAAACTATCGTTGAGCAGTTGGGGGGTATGTGTTGAGTATGTTTTGTTTTTCGTCCGAAATCCCCCTGCAGGGGGACACGCCCGACCTAGCGGTAGCGAGCGAGGGGGGGGGAGTGCAGAGGAGGAGACTAAGGCACCCCTACTTATACTCCGCGGCGCCCCCTGGGACTGGGCCAGGAACAAAACTTAAAAGGGAAGCCCCGAGAGACACGCAAACAGTCGAAACCAAATCCCGACACGCGTCCCCGAAACAGTTTAACATGGTGTTGGCCCATGTCGAAACCACGGCGGCAACAACCGAAACCGACATCAGCAATTCCTAAAAATCGTACCGCACCCATATCGGGCGCACCTCCTGTCCAGAAAAAACGTAGAAGCCACCATCAGATAGCGACGGTCGTTACGTTGAGCCGAAAAATCATATATGATCCTCTCCCCCTTCGTCTCCATCTGCTAGCCCCCCACCCACGTCCTTCTTCGCTGCGACCGAGAGAAACACACGGGGGTCCCAGGAAGGCCCGAAGGCCGTTTCAGGAGGGGGCCAACTGGAGTTTTGAAAAACGCGAATGGCCTGGAAGACCCCCCCCCCCAAACCACGAACGCAAGACCGAGCGTTGACATCAAGCCCGAATGTTTCTCTCCCACAGCCGAGCCCTGGTGCAGCGGGAGAAGGCGGCCACCCTCGAAAACGCAGGTGGTTGGCCGAGGGGCCGCGCCCAGGGCGGGACGGAGCTGGAAAGGGAGCGGGCGGGGCGGAAGAGGGGGGGGGATATCAAACGCCAATTTCTGAAGGCCCGAAGACCCCGCGCGAGCTCGGAGATGCATTCGGGAACCAATGAAATAACATTCGGCCTGAACTGGACTAGCGTCGGACGCCGCCGACCCACCCCGTTGACATCCCTTTGACGCGTGGCAGCTTGACAACACGGCAAAGGGGGATCGAGCGTTCAGGGTTGTTTCGAGTGCACTTTTCGAGGCAGGTGGGGAGGGATATGGGGGGGGGCGAGGGCGGAGGCGGCAGTGGGGGACCTAGGGCGAATGGGGCGGGGAGGCAGGGCAGAGTAATATAGAAGGAGACGGGCGGGGAGGAGCAACACAAACGAGCTGACGACATCGAGGCTGGACAAAGAGAAGGAGGAGGAGAAGGATGAGGAGGTGGAGGCCTCTGCCGCCCTGCCAGGATCTGCCATTGCGGTGCCAGATCCGCCATGCGGCCTCTGCCGCCACGCGGCCAGCGGCCTGCAACTGGGGCCGTCGGCGCCCAGTGGCGTCGGACAGGGCCCTCGAAGGCCCTCGAGGCCAAAAAAACGAAGTATTCGCCACGAAAGATGTCTTCCTTCTCCTCCTCCTCCTCCTCCTCTTCCTCCTCCGCCCCCTCCTCACTCACTCTCCTCCTTCCTCCCTCCTCCTCCTTCTCCTCCTCCTCCTGCTTCCCCCCTTCCCTCCTCCTCCTCCCTTCTCCTCCCCCTTCCCCTCCTCCTCACCCTCCTCTGCAAGTCCCCGCCCTGGTCGGGCCAGGCGCGAGGCGCCCAGCAGCCTCGAAGCTGATGCCTCACTTGAAGTGCATCGCATCCACGGCCTTCTTGGCCAGCGAGCTCGGCTGCAAGGACTCCAGCGTCAGCTGGTGCTTGCCGAGCTCCGTCTGCACCGCCATCGCGGCCTTCCTCAAACTCACCTTGTCAACGCCATCGGCGATGGCCTTGATCATGAGCGACGCACCCCACGCTTTGATGCACCTGCCCATCGCGTCCGAGCCACACTGGAAGATGTTCTCGTCGATCGGAAGCTCGAACGTCTTCGCCCACTTGCGAATGGCGGCTTCCTCCTGCGAGGCAGGGGGATCGCAAGAACGAGCCGAAACTGGAAGGGGGGCCGATGGGGCAACGAGGGCGCGTCGGAGGAGCGGCACCAAGTGCATATGGGGGTGCCTGGGAACGCGGTAGCCGATGGTGAGGCGGGGGCGGGGCCGTGCGACCCCATCCCCTCCTCCCACCATCGGCTCCTCGCACACCCAACCACCTCCGACCCACCCCTCCCCAGAACAACGAGTGCGTGGAAACCCAAGGCGGTCCTGCAAGGCGGCGTCGACCTTCTTGCGGAGGCCGACGGCGATGCCGTCCGCCAGCAAGGTGGCCTTGCCGACCGCGCGGGTCTTGTCCCACTTCTCGTCCATGCCATTCGGCAGCCCGTCGATCCAGTTGGCACCGTTCTTGAGGCCACCCTGCTCGCTCCTGAGCCCCTTCAGCGTCTTGTCCTGGTACGCGAGCAACTTCACCTCAAGCCCGTGGGACGCGACCTGGTGGATCAGCTCCTGCACCCCGTTGCCGCAATCCGTCGCGATCTTTTTGATGTGAGCAGTCTCCTCGTCGTCAGGAAAGTTCATGATCGAGACCTTCTCGAACAGCACTTTGGTCGAACCCTTCATGGTAACCAACGTATCGTCCGTGTGCGCTGCATCCAAGTTCACACCACCTTCCGTGCAATGCTTCTTCCTGAATGCTGTCTCCAAGGCCACCAGCTCATGCCGCTGCCTCAGGGCGCCGAGAACACCGCGGTGGTAGGTGCACGGCGGCAGGAGCTCCAAGGCACCTGCAAGCGCGTTCAGCGACGCCGACTTCAGCTCCTGACAATCCGAGTTGGTGTCCAGCGCGATCTGGATGCATCTGCGCACGACCTTCATCAATTCAGAATTCACGTGGTCGTCGTTGACATTCGTGCCCCTGACCTTCTCGAATATGGACTTCACGGACTCGAGGATGTCCTGCGACAGGATCTCTGCATTGGCAGCCTTCGTCAGCTCGACCTTGAAGTTTGCCACCTCCCCGTCCGCGGTGATCTTGACGAGCATGTCGGCCGCGTCGCTCTCCGCCTCGACCAAGAAAGCCTCGCTGTGCCACGCGATCCTCTGGTAGGAGATCATCTCAGCGAAAGACTTCGACTCCGTCAAAGATACAAGCCCTTTGGCAGCGCGCTCACGCATGCCCATGACTATAACGCGCGCCCTGTCCAAAGCACTCTCCTTCAACTCGTCCCCGTAGGTGCGACCGAGCACATCCAGCAAACCCAACAAGTTCTTCGCAAGAACAGCGCTGGTATGGCAAGTTAATCGCCGCTCCTCGCTCTCACCACAAATATCTGGCATCTTGGTCGTCAAAACCACATTCGCATGCTCGACTTCCTGGTTCATGGTAGTTAAGCCTTGCGAGGTCTTCCTCAAGTCGGCAAGCAGGTCCACGTAGATCGGCGTCGCAAGGATCGAGCGGGCGATGCGCTGCGCCATGGGGTCTTTAGCCTTCGCGTCGGACAAGGTGGTGACGTGGTGCTTGACCCTCGAGGCGAAATCGTCCAGGGTGGCCGCGTCGAGACCGTGGAGGAGCGTGCTCAGCGCGAGGGTGATTTCCGAAAGCGAGCAAAAGAACCCCAAATACTCTTCGGGCATGTCGCTGGAGGCGACGATCTCCGAGACCTTGTTACCAATGATGTCGACGGCCGTGGTGAGCAGATCCTGAGCGCTCTTGCCTGCCTCAATGCAGGGACAAAGCCAGTCGTTGATAAAGCAACCCAAGAACGTGCCGATCTTGATCTCTGGCTCCAGCTTCAGAGCGCTCAGTGTAGGCGAAGAACTGATAAACGAATCGGTGTGGCTAGGATTGTATGGCAACGTCGAAGCAAAGAACGCTACAAATGCATCGCCGTCGCTGATCTGCTTCATCTTCCGCCTGGACTCTCGCATGCACAGCTTCAAGTTCACGGCGTCGGGTAAAGCCCCGTCGGTCTGAACCAGAAAAAGAACGGCTTTGGCAACTTCATCGTCCTGGTAGGTATCCTGGTGGGCAACGGGTACAATGTGAGCCATCTCGAACTTCTTGATGTGGGCCTTGAGGTCAGCGGCTCCCTGGGACCACTTCAGCTCACTGCCGTGCTCGCGTACCCATTTGTTGGCGTGGTGCAGCGCATTGCCCAAGTTCCCTTTCACCATCTCCATCTCGCAATCTAGATTCTTGATGTGCTTGTAGGGGCCCTGCTTGCTGTCAACAGTTCCTCCGATGCCACTGGCCGCGCCAACCATAGTAGATGCAGCCACCTGCGACGCTGAGTCGTCGAGGCCGATGTCGTCGTCAGCTGCGAAGGGCGAGGCATCAAGATCCGCGGCGGGGCTCTTCTTCCCACGCCTGCTCCTCTTGGTAGGGGGCATGCCGACATCCGAGCGCGATCTGCCGAAAGCCGAGGGCAACTGGATCACGCCGCTGAGAGTGGCGTCGCCCAAGCCGCTGGCCGCGCCATCTGCATCGGCCTCATCCTCCCCGACGGCGCTGCCCGCTGCCGCCGCGCTAGGCGATCCAGGTGCAGCACCCTGCGGCACCTCGTCGGCCGCCTCGCCCGCTTCGTGAAGCTTGAGCGGCACCAAGTTGAACTTCCCCCTCGTGGCGTTGATGCACGGCAGGTCCTTCGCCACAAGATCTGCGTCGAACTCAGACTTCTGCGTGCTGAGGCCCTTCTGGTAAAAATCGACGACCTGGCCGTCGTAGAAGACGTCGTCTGGGCGCACGGGCGTCGACCCAGCGGTGACCCTGTGGAAGGTGCAGAAGCTCGTGGTGCGGCGCGCCCCAGGGAAGTTCTCGAACAGCCACACCTTTTCCGTCTCCCCCGCGACGCCGCCTCGAACTGGGATCGACATGCTCGGATGGTGGCGCACCACGCGCTGCAAGGGCTCGTTGCCGCCGTGGAAGTACTTGAAATCCGCCTTGTTCAAGATGGCAACCTTGCGCTTCACCTTGACGACGCTGCCGTAACCCACCGAGACGTT